CTGGCTCTTCGAGTAGATAAGGATATCGTCAATAAAGACAATAACGAACTGATCGAAGTAGGGATGGAAAATACGATTCATGAGGTCCATGAAAACTGCTGGCGCATTGTTGAGACCGAATGGCATGACGACGAACTCGTAGTGGCCGTAACGAGTCCTGAAAGTGGTCTTAGCGATATCTGACTCCTTAATCTTCAGCTGGTGGTAGCCTGATCGTAAGTCAATCTTTGAGAACACATAGGCTCCCCTCAACTGATCAAATAAGTCGTCGATCCTGGGAAGCGGGTACTTATTCTTGATCGTCAACCGGTTAAGATCCCGGTAGTCGATACACATGCGCATGGATCCGTCCTTCTTCTTAACAAAGAGAACGGGTTCTCTCCACGGTGACATGCTCGGTCGGATGAAACCGAGTCGTAACAGCTCCTGAATCTGCGCCTTAAGCTCTTGCAACTCCTTAGGCGCCATGCGATATGGGGCTTTGGACACTGGACCGGCCCCTGGAATAAGATCGATAGAGAACTCCACCTGCCGGTTAGGCGGTCCTCCTGGAAGCTCGTCTAGAAACACGTCCACAAATTCGCGAACAACTGGAACATCATGAGGTGAGCGTGCTTTCTGAGAATCGTCGACAAGGCTCACCAGATAACCCTGGCAGTTGCCTCGTCGCAGTAGCTTAGTGGATTTCGCCATTGAAACAACATGAGGCAGTGAACGATTCCTGGAGCCAAAGAAAGTAATCGACTTGTCTCCCGGAAGATAGAGAGTGATCTCCCGGTCGTGACACCTGATGTCTGCATGATAGAAGGATAGTCAATCCATTCCGAGAATAAGGTCGAAGTCCTTCATCTCAAGAACAAACGCGTCGGCAGTCAATACTCGGCCACCGATGGAAAGGCTAAGATCTGAAGCTTTAGCTGAAGTCACTATCTTTCGTCCCGAGGCTAAACTCACCTCGAGAGGATCGACAGCAGTAACGACGTGAACTCCGATGGCATCAAGACATCGTCGTGATATGAATGAATGCGTTGCTCCAGTATCGAACAAAGCGAAAACAGGAATATCATTGAGAACAACCATCCCTGACATAGTACCTGGCTTCTGTGCTGCCTCTGCCTGATCAACCGCATAAACCCTGGCCTGCTGTCTGCCCCTCTGCTGCTGCTGCTGAGGCGGCCTCTGTGCCTACTGACGTGGCTGCTGCTGCTGTGATGGCTGCTGAGGCTGCTGCTGAAGTCTCTTCGGACAGCGACTCGCAAAATGTCCCGGCTCGTGGCAGTAGTAGCAGATATCCTGACCTACATGGCACTCTCCCCGATGAAGTCGTCCGTAAGTCGGGCAGGGCGGAACCTGTTGCTGTCTCTGTCGGGTCCTCCGGTCAGTCTGTGCACCCTTCCCCTTCCTTTTCTTCTCCTTCGCCGGCTGAGCAGCTGGTAGGGCTGGTGGAGCTGCGAATGGCTGAACTGGGGCGGATGGCTGGGCACGATCACGGGCGGTCTCCCTCCTGATGCTAGCATCCACCTCCTGAGCGATAGAAACTGCACGAACGTAGGTCTGAGTCCCGTGTCCCACGATGTTATGACGGACTGCTACCGCTGCGCTCTCTGGGCCTCCGTGCGAACCAAGTCCGGTACGAAAGCTGCAAGTCTAGTGAACTCTCGCTCGTACTCATCAACCGTACGAGTGCCTTGCTGGAGCACTAAGAACTGACGCTCCATCTCTGCTCGATAGTAGGAGGGGTAGTACTTTTCGCGGACTAGCTCCTTGAGCATGTCCCACGTACAACCCGCTTTTTCACCGGGACGCATGCTCCAGTAGGCATTCCACCAGAGCCTAGCATCACCAGTGAGCTGAAGCTGAGCACAAACTATGCGATATCTATCGGGGCAGTCCATGACCTCAAAGATAAACTCCAGGCCTTGAATCCATTCATCTAAGATGCGGGGATCTCCCTGCCCTGAGAACTTTTCAGCGTGGTAGTCGCGGAACTGTGCGACTACAGTAGCCTGAGTAGGAGCCTGATGGTCGGGTTCCCTACGTGGCGGCATCTGAACATTGAGAAAGTTTAGCATTATTGAATACGTGATAACATTCTGACTGATTATTGAGGCACACAAATCTCTTGACGAGTTGCCAAAAATGGCCGATAATTACTGACATGAATCCTGAAGAACTCTAGAGTCATATAGGAAGATCCTAATGTCTAGAGTCATATCTGAATGCCCTGAATTCTAGAGTCATGTCCGAATTCTAAAGTCTAAACCTGATTCGAGCATCTTAACTAAAGTCCTGATCCTTAATTCTGAGCATAGACAAAGTAATATGTTTATAACTGAAAAACTGAATCAGCACTTACCTGTCGTCGGCGGGGCGTGAGCATGACGGTTCAGGTTTTTCTGAAAAATTATTGACTGAAAACTTTTCAGAGACGCAGAAACGTGCTCTGATACCAATTGTAACACCCCGCCTTATCGTAAAATTAGAGTGCGAAAATTTCGCAAAGTTATTTAAGAATAAAAGCTTTTACTTTGCGAAAACTGATTCGGGGTTCTACCTTAAAATCGTGACTTATTTTAGAAAACCGTTATCTTAATTTTTAACAAAATCATACTGTTACTGAAAGCATAAAGTTTTCCGAAAGTCCGGTCAAAACATAAGTTCGTCAAAAGTCATCAAAAACATCGTCAACGGAAGCGTAAATCATCATAATAAATATACAGTCAAAACATAAATGTCCTGAAGCCTCCGTCAGCTCATGCTCCCTGCCCGACATCCTGACCTGAAAAACATGATAACAATGGGGAATGAGCACTATGGCACTGTGCTCCGTGGAAACTCATACTAATGTAAACATTGAAAATAATAACAACATCATGATATTAGTATATACATAACCTCAACCTCAAGCCGGTAATAACATGACATGAATCTGAAATCGTCACGCAAACGTGACCCTGATCGTTACCTCATCTGCCGGCAAAAACAAATGCCGGACACCATGTGCACACTCTAGTGGGCAGACTAGGGCCACTAGAACCCAGAATGGACCGGCGACCATTCCGAGCGGATACCTCAACTGAAATACATACCTCAAACATGGTACCGTAATTATAATCAATGTAATACTTAGTCTGAGTCCCCACCTGAACTGCTGAAACTGAACGGTAGTTCTGATGCCTGATCAAACTGAAAATAATATAAACAATTACTAATGACTATGCTCAGACTGTTAACTTAAATGATTAATTTCGTTAAGATGCTCTACTGAACCTGACATGATATTTAGACTTAACCGGAATAACCAGAACTGATTTAAAATGAACTGGTCGGACATGACTTTACTGAACTGAAATAATCCCGGAAATTTAACTGAAAATATCATTAAAATCATGAACCAGGCTGAAACCTTAACATAAGAACCGAACCGATTTAAAAATGGGGCTGAACCGGTCCAGCCGGTCCAAACCGGTCTGGACCGGACTGCGGGTCGACTGGACCGGCAGTCGGCTCGGCTCGTCCAGCAGCCTGCCGCGTGCTGCGCGCATGTTACGGAAGTGGTCATCAACCCCGGTGAGTCAGACAATGATGATGGCGATGATCTCGATATTTGGTTGGAAAATATGTTAGAAACGCCATCTAGTCCTATTTACCGGCCATCATGTGTACGAGATTGGCCAAGAGGTTGCGGCCCAAAGCTGAAGTCAAAGGTAAGGAAACGGACGGCCAAAAGACAACGCAAAGCAAGGCCCGAAGAGCAAATCAATGTAGGTGCGAGCCTTGTGCAAAGAAAAGACAAGCTCAAAAGAAGGAGGCTAAAAGGCGAGGTTTGCGATGGGAAAAGAATGGTTGGTGGATACCGGTAGATGATTGTGTGAGATTGAAAGGATGGGACCCATGGCCGTCGAGCGAGTGTTCAAAGGGGATCAGCGAGCATCAGGGGCTGACCGGCGACGAGGGAGCGGGCACGAGCAAATGGCGTGCATCGTGCCATGATGCGCGCGAAGGGCCCAGGGATCTTGCACGAGTAGAGGATCGGGGTACGGACGTCGACTGGGACGTATTGGCATATGGCAGTAACGCGCGGGCGTCGAGCGGCGAGGACGCGACGCACGCTGGGCACGCGGTTGGCTGGGACGCGTGCGGGGAAGCCGGCGAAGGTGCGGGGCTCGCGGGCAGTAGCGAGTGGACGTACGCGGGCGAAGGCCTAAGCCGTGTAGGCTTAGGCGAGACGAGCGACGCGATGGCAGGTGCGGACCGCGACCGCGTAGGCGGGGGAGTACCGGGCGACGGCACGTACGCGCGGGAGGATGGCAGCAACGACGAGGGGCGCGCGGTAGGGCGCGAGTGTGGCATAGGCGCGGGAGTCCTACGCGGAGCAGGACTAGGAGAGGCACGCGAGGGGGCGCACGCGCAGGGGGCTGGCAGCATGGATGGGGCGCGCGCAAGGGCACGCGCGTGCAACACGAACGAGGCGCGCGATACCTCGCGCGCCGAGGATTAGGAAAGCCGAGGGTCAGCGGGACGCGCGCGACGCGTGAGAGGCGGTCGAAGAGTTGGGGCGAGCGTAGGGTTTTAATTAGGGAGCTTCTAGATTTGCTTGGTGTGCAAGCCAAACAATAGTTATTTGGTAGGTTTAGGATTTTATTGCTTTCTAGACTTAGGATTTCTATTCTTGCAATAATTAGGAGATCTATTAGATTTAGGCATAGCTTTATTTTACAACTATAAATACCCCATGTACCTCATCATATTGAAGAAGTCTGGAATGAAGTATTGAATTGGTGAGCCAATCTTGAGGGGGAACTTATGTTCTTAACGTGTGATAAAGAAGGCCATTAGTGCGTCTTTACATGCAGTGTCGGAGAGAAGGCCAATAGTGCGTCTTGAAGTCACTGTGTCTAGGAGAAGGCCGCAGCGCGTCTGCTAGATACATCTATCGGGGATAAATGAAGGCCGCAGTGCGTCGTTTATTCGCACCCACGTATAGGTGAACACACGATCCGTCATCAGCGCAGCGTGCATGGGCGCTGCTGGCTTACTGCGGGTGCTGGACCGCTGTCCCAGGCACGACTGGGTGTGCTGGGCATGTGCGGCGTCCCGCTGGGCTAACTGGTGAACTTTCCGCGGCATTGTGCACAGTCACGCGTGCTGGCGCGCGCTGGCGCGTTGCTGCGGTGTCGCTGAGCGTTACCGAGTCGCAGGCGTGCACTGGGCGTCGCTGCGTGCGACCACTGAACGCGTACTGGACTGGCTGGACATTCGGCGTGTGCACTACTGACTGCTGGCTGCTACCGCGAGTGGCTAAGTGCCGCGACTCACGGGCAGGTGCATGCACTGGCAGTCGTCGCTGCCTGTCCGCCAACACGCTGCTGCCGCTACGTGCGGCAGCGCGTCCATAACCGGCTTTCTCCGTCCATCCGGTGAATACCTTCGGCACTATGACATCAAACAACATGACATGACTTAATATGAACATGGTTATGGAAATAACTTGAAAATGGCACTTTTCGCACGATTCAACTGAAAAAAGGGCCGTGGCGAGCGCGCCGCGCGCCGCCGACGGCAATATGCCATCTCCCGACCGACTCAACTTATCCCTCGGCAACTCAAGACCGATTCAACATGAAATATTATTTTGAGGCAATTAAGACATAAATGCACGGAAGAACATGACCATAACCGAAGGTGGACATGGCTTGGTGCTGCCCGTGGCCACGCGCGATAAGCGCTAGCGACGGTTTGAGCCATTTAACCAATAAAACATCATTTTGCCTCGACCAACATGAACTAACTGGCCATGAAATGATCTAAACTGAACAAATAAACATGAATTGCACAAGAGTTGCCGGGTAGAAACAGACCTCACTCAGTCACGGCCAATACATGGCACTACCGAACATATCCTTACATTTCTTGAACTTTTTGAACATGAGCTTGGACAATTAAACCCTACATGATCTTAATAACAAGAAAAGGTGATGAGGGTGAATTACCTTCTCCAACCGTTCGATGGAAACGAAGGATAGGCGTGACTTCTTGGCTCCGTGCGCGTGCTTTGGCGTGCGATGCTTACGGTACAATTAACTAAGGCAATATGTGGGAGTATTTGCTGCTGAATCTTATTAAGTGGTGGAATATATATAAGCTCAATTTGTGTGCAAAATTCTGTCCCAACACTCCTTCTTATACCCAAGGCCGAATGAAGGCCATGAGTTGGAGAATGATGAGGGCTTGACGTGGCCCTTTTAAAACATGCCAAGTGATGGCTAATTAGTGCCTAATGTGGTGACTAATCACCCCTTCCATTGGCCACGTATCATGCTCTAAAAAGGAGGAAAATTAATTTCCTCAATTTGAAGAAAGCTACGGCTATAAAAGATTTATTAGAAAATTTCCATACAACTTACGACTTTATGCCTTAATAGGAGGATTAATTAGCATTAATCACTTAATTTATGTTTAATTATTTAATTAAACATAATGCTTAATTACCAAAATTATTCCAGACGTAAACGGTACGTCGAAAATAAATTTCGGTAACCTCGACTGAAAATAATTAATTCCGAAAATAATAATCGATAACATTATTATATCGGAACTAGAACATAATTTATACTGATAAAATAACGGGATATTACACTAGGTGTTTTCGGAATCCGATAAATTATTAAAGTATAGTGTAGCTATTTATTAATCGGCTATACTGGTTTAGTCAGAATTTCAGCAGAGCCAGTTATTTGTACGCTCCACCGTTTACTTTTCAGAAGGCGAAGCGGAATATAACTCTAGAAACAACCTCGATTATGTTGTGGGCAAGTACTTTTTTCTACGTATCGAGGATAGTCGTGGCGATATATTAGCGCCATAAGATCGATTTTAAACCTTAGAATTAAGACTGAGTAAATTATACATTTCAGTAAATTCTGCCAGAAATGGCAGGACCCAACAAGCAATAGCCGATCCAAGATCAACAAAGAAGAGGAAGTGCCAGCGCCTACACTCGTCACGGTAGAAGCAGAAGTCCAGAAGACTCAAGAAGATGCATGCAGTTTAATTATCTCCATTCCGTGAACTCGCAATACTTTTGTTCCGGGAATTTCTTCATATTTCGTAACTCCGTTAAAATTCAAGTTGAGACCAAAATTTCAGTGCATTCCATAATATAAAGATCGCAAAGAGCGAGTTATTGCTATAATTCGACACTTGCGAGAGTTAGATTAATAAGCCGATGGATTGCAACACATAGATAAAGTAGTGGACTTTCCATTGTTTGAACTATGTAAGCGTTGAGTTGAGTTCTAACTCTAGGGGTTACCTCACTTGCGTTGGCAAGATGCCTTCCAGCTAGTATTATAAGTAATAGATTTTCAGTGTATAAGAGTCATAGATCCGGGTAAGTCCTGGAGGCTTGAAATAAAAGCCATGAGTCCGGGAGGAACCATGGAGGCTTGAAGCTGAACCATAGCAGACATGTTTCCATATGAGGTGATCTCTAGTAGTCAGAGAAATAGGAAACCCAGTTTAAAGGAAGCTAGAGCGAGGAATCGCACGTCGAGCCATGTTTTGATATCGAGACGACTTACTCATTTGTCTTGAAAGGGAGCTATCACCCAAGGAAGTTTCAATAGTGTGAGAATACTCATATGACAGTTCACAAAGAATTTAATGAAAGCCGAGTGGAAGTTGAAATAACATGTTTAAGAAGGCGAAGACTTATAATTTCGCATACATGTGCCAAATGCTACAACTCTCGAGTTTGAAGTTGTGAGCAAATGGACGATATGTCGATAGGGAAAAATCTAGAAGTCGTGAAGAGAGAGAGAGAGAGAGACAAAGGGAGCCCTTCATTAACAACGTCCAAAGAGTTAACCATTATTTCGATCGCGTGTACGTATTTTCAAAATGTTGCCGAGAAAACCACCAGACCGAAAAATGGAATTCGATTGACCTGGTACTGAAATAGAACTAGCGTCAAAAGCGCTAAACCGAGAGACGCCAAGAAGCTGCAAGAACTGAAGACCCAGATCCGAATTGTGAATTGTTGGACCAAGAGCATCACCCTAGGGAGCGCCCGATGGTTCGTGAAGAAAGGAGATGTGCACCAATTACCAAAAGTTATGTAGACTCAAAGAGGATAGTAAGTACTCACCTTTGAGAGTCGAGAAGTTGTCGACCCATGCGGGAAGACAACAAGTTCCAAGATTGAACTTGAAGCTCGGACATCCTCTATGAGAAGTTGAGAAGCCCGAAGCCTCAAGATCAGAAAGCACGAGAAAGGTGAGGTGATGAAGTCATCTCTAAGTACTAGTTGTGTACGACATCACTAGCTTTAGATTAGACGTTGAGGGATGAAAGAACAGAAAAGCCTCAACATTAAAATTTTAAGTACCCTTGGGTAAATTTTAGCCATATAAGTAGTGAGACCCTCGATTTGTATCAGGAAGAAGTTAGATCCAGTAGTAGTACACCGAGTTAACTCAGCGCCGCAGTACCGTGAAGCCACTCGCATAAGATGTGGGTATGACTGTGTTTATGACTGCAGGTGACACTGACGCCGCAGGTACATCACACGTAGGTGTAGCATGCAGGTGTTCCGCGCCCGTGGGCCCTGGGTAGTGTGTGAGCCGCATGCAACATATCGTGTGCAACGTACCGCATCATCCGGAGCTGGGTCACAGCAAGTCGAACCACAATTGCTAGTTGTCCTCATCAATATTACAGATCGGTGGACGATCAGAATGCCCAGATGCTTGCGTTTTGAATGACAAATCCGTTCGAAAGAGCGATTTACTACTAAGATAGTTAATAAATGTCGGTTGACATGACATCGTACAATTTTGTGTGGACACAAGTGTGGATAGCTGACGTACAAAGAAGAAATAGCAAGAGAATGATTCTCGGTCAATAGTAGACCGACAGAAAATATAGAAGAGATCAGTTATCCATGCAGAAACTAAGGCAACCCTGAACCGACGAAAGTCACGCACAGGCCAGCCACAGAAAGACTTTCGGACCAGAGTGAACGACAAGATGACCCCGAGGGTCACAGCCGCAGAGGATCAACAGTTTAATTACCCCCGTCATTTTTTGACATGTGGCCGAGACGGCAACCTAAGCCTAACATTTGAGGCTTTGTCGTCGAAATTCTCGAGACATGTTGAGCGATTATCCCCACGTCTCAACTTCGAGAAGATTTACTCGAGCTTGAACACGTGGAAGCCTTAGATAAGCCTCACGTTGATCCGAGTTGACCCGTGAGATAGTACCTACGGCCGCCGTGTGGTGAAAGGTACGCTAGTCAGAGAGTCGAGAAGTAGGTCTCTCTGAGTCCAGGAGTGTCGCCGTAGCTATGGCGAAGCTGCTAAGAGAGTAAATGAGCTTCTTTTGAAGTTTCCTAGTATAGTTTCTAAAGTTTTGTCTTGGATTTTATCTAAGGCACATAGTGAGATTTTAGTGAGTCGCCATGGCAAACTAGTACCAGC